TAATAATATATTTTAAAAATGCTGAACACTCACCCAGGAACAATTTGAAGGAATCTGACTTTGCCCTCGCCTCTTGCTTCTGAAAATGCAGGTTTATGTGACTTTAGGTAAACACTTGGGCTTTGTGCTGCAGGAGAGTGTTCTCTGAGCCCAGGGAAATACCCACAAGGAGCCTAACTCCCTTTGTGTCCTCCTTCTCCCACAGAGCAAGCTTCCCATGACTAACAGATGCTGGCCTAGATTATGAGCTCAGCCAAGAACGCTCGCTACAATCGTTTCTCCAGTGGCACAACAAACATCACTACTTCTGAGAACACTAACGGGGTAAGGCACTGCTGCTGGCACGGGCAGGGACAGGCTGCTTCCTCTGCTCTCATCCTTTCTTTTGAAACAGGCTCTTTTCCTGCCACTTAAAATCTCACTACTCACAGAGAAAAGCTGGGAATGCGTATGCAGCATTTCACCAGCTCAGGCAAAGTCTGGAGGCTTTAAATGCCCTGACATTTGTTTTTTCAACATTTCAGACAAGAATGGAAACTACTTTTGGACCAGCCTTCTCTGCTGTGACCACCATCACAAAGGGTGGGTATTTCATGTGTACTGTGTGTGATCCCAGGGTGGTTGTTGTCCTTTTACAGATCATAAAGCTGTTGGGAGAATCTCTCTGGTCATTAACCAGGTGTTGGGGGGCTGGGTTTGGTGTTATGCAGCCCAAGTGTCCTGACAGGATGGAAATGAGCAGGCACAGGAATTTTCTCTCCTCAGGCAGACTGAGCAGTACCACTGGGAAGCCTTTGCTGAAAACAGAGTTGTACAACAGGGTTTGATGCTGAGCTCAGCACCAAATCTTATTGATCTCTGTGACAATCATCACCAATGCTGAAAATTTCCATTTTCCCTCTGTGCCTGACTGTGAGTCACTCTGGAGCTTTGGTAAAGCCCCGTGGCCATTTTTAGCTCAGACAGGAGGGGATGCAAGTGTCCCTGCTCATTTACAATTCCTGTGCCTTGTTCCTCAAAGCTCAGCAGGTGAGGAGAGCCTGAGCTCTGGCACGTGGGGGGAATGTAGGAAGAGGCCTGGTTTCATTTTGGGATACAAACATCCTTCCTTTAATAGAAACAAAAAGACTTGACACTGATTTTGATAAGGATATAAACATCTGCCCAAGAAAAATGTTTGGATTACATTTGTCCTGGACTCTGGATGGTTTTGGACTCCCAAATATTTACATTCAGACTTTTATACGTATAAGAGTCAGTTACATGATCTCTATACAAATATTTCATATTTAATTTAGCATGGCTCCCCTGTGCCTCAGGGATATCCAGACCTCCCTGGATCCAGGCAATTTTTATTGGTGACTGAGATACATGGGAGTATAACATTTCCTTTTAATAGTGTTTTTAAGCTGTGGCTCTGACAGGATATTACCTGTGCTCTTTTCTGGGCAAGCTCTCAGGGATCAGGGTTGTTCTGCCTGTGCTGATACATCCAGTCATGAGCCAGCATTGGAGAATCCCTAGCCTTTTCCTTTTCTAAGGAACACTTACAGCTACAGAGGCTGGCTCACAGCTTGGCAATGTTTCTGAGGAGCCTAAATGCTTGTTTTTCTTGTTTAATTCCCTGTAAAGCTGACGGGACCAATACTTTCAAGCAGCACCGTCGGACCCCGTCCTCCTCCAGCACCCTCACCTACTCCCCTCGGGACGAGGATGATGGCATGGTAGGTGTTGTCAGCACCCTGCTGACTGGCTTAGCAGATCAGAGGTGAAATGAGAGGTGTCTGGAGCTCCTGTGGACTCCTCTGCCTCCCTCATCATTCTCTATGTAACGTGTGCCCCAGAGGCAGGAGCAGCCTCAGCATTGCTGGTGCCGTGGGGAAGCAGCTCACTCTCACCTGGGGCTTTAGGCTGGAGCTGCTGCTGCTTTCCACACTGCTTGAGATTGCTGTGTGGGTCCAAAGCCTGGGAACTACAAACCCCAGAGCCTCCTTGTGAGGGAGTACCTGGCTCCTGGGAGAGCAGGAGCTCGGGAGAAACAGCCCCTGCCAGGATGTCTGGGCTGTGACTGGGGCCAGGCACTCTCCGTGTTGGATGGATCCCAGCTGGCTCTGCAGTTATGGCCATAGAATCCATTCCTGTTCCCACCTCCAGATGGGGCCTCTGACCACAGGGAGCGGGTTTGAGACCTGCAGATTGGGATATTGGACACTGCAGGCTGTGCTGGGCTTCCCACACAAACCATTCCTGTGTCTCCCAGTGTCTTCGTGGTGAAGCAGTTCCCAGTTTTGTATCCACTTTTCTCACTCACTTCTAAGTTCTTTTTGAGGAATTTAGTGATTCAGCAGTCTTCAGGGTTAGCTGCTTGACGAGAAATTAAATTAGCTAAATCAATTAAATAAACAGCAGCAACAGCAAAGCAAACCTTGATGAAAGGGTGGTCCAAGGCTGGACCTTCTCCTGTCCCTGGTGCTCCAGCCACTTCTCACAATCACAAGCTCTGTTCAGATCTAAACATGTTAGTAACAAACTTCAAATTAAGTATTTGTAGACTTAGTCAGGTTACAAGACCCAATTTCCAAGCCAGGCATAAATGGATCATTGCTGCTGGAGTTAGAGACTGGGGTCAGCAGCAGTGTGGAGCTGCAGCACTTCTTAAAATAAATTTGACACCAGATTGCAAAGAATTTTATTGTCAGCATCCTATAAAGTTCCTTCTGTTGCTCAGAGATCTTGCTGTGTTTTATGTGAGCCCGTGGGGGTTTTGTTTGTTGTTGGTCTTTTTTTCTAACAAGTCCTTTGAAAATTTGCCTGGTGTCCTTGGCAAGAGCAGCTCTCCAGCCCACCACTGACCCCACGAGCTGGGCAGAGCTCAGGCCACCCCTGGCTGTCAGCACAGACCTCTGGGCTGAGTGCTGGGCTCACAGTGCCCTTTTCACAAGCTGGGCAGTTCTCACAGGGCAGAGGGGAGGATTTTTCCAGAGGAGGGAATGCTGTGAATATTTCATTTAGCCAGGTCTGATAAAGAAACTGCCTGATTCCTTTGAAAACCCCACTGGCACGAACTGGGGTGTGCAGCCAAGAGTGGGGGAGATCTCTGCTGGGAGCCAGCTTCAGTCCTCTTGGACAGTCTCAGCCCACTTTCCCTGGAGTGTTAAATATTCTTTAGCAAAAATAGTGAGAGGATTAATGAGTGGTTCAGGAAGCAGCGTGAGGTGCTGACAAACCAGAACCGCCTCTGTCCTGCTCTGCCTGCTGCTCCAGGCAGACTCACTAACCCTCTTAGGAAGCTTCATTTGCTTTGTCAAGAAATAATCTGGGATTTCCCTTCCTCATCACTGAGTTTTCCCTCCTCTAGAAGCTGCCAAGGGCTTCTCAGCCATCAGAGAGACAGCTGGAGACAAGTCAGAGCCCTCCTGTGACCTCCACTGCCCCTTTTTCTTTCCTTGTAAAGCTGCTGTTGATGGAGCAGAAGCAGAGCAGTGTGCTCTGTGTGCAGGGCAGGGATTGCTGAGTGGCTGCTGTCCTCCTGCCTGGACACAGTGCCACAGGTTCCCACCTTGCTGTGCCTGCATGGAGCTGGAACCAGGGCTGTGCTGGAGCCTCCACCTGGAGGCTGCTCCTGTCGCTGAGGTGGTGGGAGCTGCAGCTGGAGATTGCAGCTGAATACTGCAACAATTGGATGTCATGGATGGAGGCTGCCTGCCTGTCCAAAGTCTGTTGTCTACAGGGAGCTTCACCTCTGAGCCACAGGTGAAAACTCTCCATCTTCCATCAGGTGTTTGAGTGCTCCATCCTTGGGCTCTTTGAAGGTGTGTTTGATGTTTAGTGCAGAAATGAAGTCTCTTGAGTTTTATCCTTGTTTGCTTGGCAAAACCAAGGCTGCAGATACCCAGAGGGTCTGGAACTGCCAGCACACCCTCTGCCATTCTGTGTTATCCCCCCAGCCCAGGGGGAGTGAGGATCCTTCTCAGCCCATCCCCTTCTCTGCTGTGCAGTTAACACCAGCATTATCCAAACCAGGACACAGGGAGCTGAGCCCAGAGTCCTACACAAACCTTCTGTGTCTCACACCCCTGCCTGCAGTCCCCTTCTCTGTTGGTGATCCTCTCTGGATGTTGCTGGTGACAAACCTGCCTCCCTGCAGAGCCTGCCTTTGCTGCCCTGTCACCTCCAGAGTGGGAAGTGTGCACAGTCATTCTGGTTATTTTAATAATTTCTGCTACTAGTGGAGGAAAATAATAAAATGAATGGATACACATAAAATGGATTTACCTCATTATAACCATTCCTCCTTAAGGTTTATGTATTTAGCCAATAAATATGCTGTCTTTAAAGGAAAGACATTTATGCTTTGGCTTCTCAGCATTTCTGAGTTCCTTGGAGCCCGGGATCATAAAAATGAGGCAGCAGAGCAGCGTGAGGAACCAGCAGGATCCTGGTCTGCTCTCCTGCAGCCCAGCCAGGCTGCACTGGGACTGCAATGTGCTTTGTCTCTGGGGAGGGCAGCAGCCTCTGAGCCTCATCTTGCAGCTTTCATTGCTGAATTTCCTGCTGGCCCCACTGCCCTCCTGCATTGCCTTTGTCTGGCCCTGGCTCTGCTGTCACCCACTTTCACCCAGGGCAGGCACACAGAATGCAGCTCCCAGGGCTCACATGGAACACAAGGAAAAGTGTTTTTTCCCACAAGGTGCAGGGCAGGAGCTCAGCAGAGTCTGGTGCCTGCAGCTTTCCCTGTTCCCTGGGCAGTGCCTTGGCTGGGCCAGGGAGATTCCCTTTTCCAGTGGGCAGTCAGGGATCTCCAGAACTCTGGGCAGTGCCTTGGCTGGGCCAGGGCCAGGGAGAGTCCCTTTTCCAGTGGGCAGCCAGGGATCTCCAGAACTCCTTCCAGCCAACGCTCCTCAGGGCTAGGGACTGACAGAGGCTGCAGCCGAGCCTTGGAGCGTGTGACACGTGCACATGCTCATCCATCATGCCTCTTCTGAAGTGTCTGAAGCTTCTGGCTTCGTTCTTCCATGTCCAAGCATGCATTCTGCTCATTGAAGAGCTTTATTCCTCCTCTCTGCACCTTTTCCAGTCCACCAGCAGCATCCCTCCCAGAGTAACCCCACAGTGGCTGCGCTCCCAGCTGCACTGGATCCTCAGATCCAGTCTCCCACGGTCTGCAGCCTCCAGTGGTGCTTTGACACCGAGTGGCACCTTGGCTACGTGCTGCTGGTTGGTATTCCAGCAGCAGCACTCCCTCAAAGCCAATCCCCAGGCTGCCATGGCAGAGGATCTCTCTGGATTGGCGCGCGGTGTCCGCTCCGCTCTCCCCTCCCGAGCAGGAAGCGGCAGAGCCGGGCTCACAGAGAATTCAATAGAAGGAAGTCTCCACACTTACGCAAAGAAATTTGGCAGAAGTTAGATAGTGAGTGCAACAACAAGTGCTGCTGCAGAGATTACAGACATTGCAGGAGCTGGAGCAGTCTCTGGGGGAGATTTACAGAGCTTTCCATGAAGGATTAATTCTTGCAGACCGTTGCTTGGCGGGTGTGCACGGTAAGTGTGCAGGGAATGCACCTTGGAGAAGGTGATGTGCTGCAATTCCGATGTCAGCCGGGCTTAGGGAGTTAAACCCGAGTGATTCCTGTCTCTGGGCACGGTGCAGGGAAGGGCACACAGCAGCAGGGCCGCTCAGTGCAGCCGGGAGTGGAGCAGCTGAGTGTTGTGGAGGGGGAAAACTGAACCTGCAGGCTCTGCCCGGAGCTTGGGAATGATTTGCACTGACCAGAGCTGCTCTGTGTCCGCAGCCTCCCATCAGCACCCCGCGCCGCTCCGACTCCGCTATCTCCGTCCGCTCCTTGCACTCCGAGTCCAACATGTCCTTGCGCTCCACGTTCTCACTCCATGAGGAAGAGGAGGAGCCAGTAGGTATTTGGGATTGCCTGAAGGAGCAGGATTAGGAAGCTCAGTGTCAAAAGAGTAGCTTAGTGGGCTGTTGTGAGTACACAGAGCTCGCAGGGGCAGATTTTGTGCAGTGCCTGGATCAGGCTCCTGCTTTTAACTTTGTTTCCACCACTGACTTTGCTTCCTCGTGTACCATTTCCCTGACTGGAAAGCGAGGACAATGGTGAGGCTTTTCTGCTTCTCAGAAAAACTGTAAGTCTATGCAAAGTCCTGCTTGATTCCCTGGCCCTGCAGCAGAGCAGGGCGGGTTGCGAGGCTCAGGCTGGTGGTCTGGCCCCAGGCAGCAAAAAAAATACAATTCCCCATGGATTTGGAAGCCCATCCCCATTCAGGGCTGTGTGGCACCCCACTGACTTGATTGTAAGCCCCAGGAGGGTGCAAGGAATTGTCTGCATGCTGGGGGAGGATACTTTTAAACTGAGCTTAGCTTGTGACCCAGTAACCAACCCCAAACTGGATGAATAAAAGGTCAGGCGGCGTTCTGCCACTAATCTGGGATAAGAGTTTGTTTCGGATTTGGGAACCCAGGGGGCCTTGTTTGCATTTCTGAGAGCAGCACAGGATGAAAAGACAGAGGGAACTGCAGAGATGGATTGGAAATGCTCTGAAATGTGAGCATGGAGAGCCGAGGTGCTCCGGGCGGACGTGCTTGGAGCCCTGTGCTGGCTGGTAAACAAAACTGGAGAGATGGGCCCATTGCAGCAGAAACAATGTTGTTTGTGCTTCCTGAGGAGTGAAGGAGCCCTTCCTTCAGAATACTTCAAAAACACAAGAGTGCAGGCTGCTTTAAAATTGCTCTTAAGCTCAGGCTTAGTACAATTTTGACAACTCTGTGCTCAGGCCAACCAAGGAGAAAGTCCCAGCCAGTGCAGCTCATGCAGTTCTGGTGACAATCACTGGCAAAGAAGTTGGTCTGTGCAGTTTGCTGTCAGGTGCTGATCCTGCCCGATGCTGTTGGCCCCCAGTTTGTGACGAGCTGAGGATCTCCAGCCATTCCCAAGTTCATTCTTTCCCTACTGGAACTCAGCAGATCCAGACAGAATTTCACATTGATTAAATAAAACCCTCAGTGTGCCCCAGGCTCCCCGAGGCTCAGCACGGAGGGATTGTGTTATTCCTTCTGCAGAGCTGCAGGCTCTTGGTTTGGACTAATCCACGCTGTGTGTGTCCCTGTGTGTGCCCTGCAGGAGCCCCTGGTGTTTGCAGAGCAGCCCTCCGTGAAGCTGTGCTGCCAGCTGTGCTGCAGTGTCTTTAAGGATCCCGTCATCACAACCTGTGGGGTAAGGCATGGCTCTCCCAAATATCCCGTGTGAGCCGCAGTCAAACCTGGACTGTCCCCTCTGTCCCTCCCTGGGGACTGTCAAGCAAAACTAGGGCTTGCTTAAAGTGGGATGGCTTTTCCCAGGAGAGCTGTGCTGTCAGCCACCCCATCCTGGCCATGTTCAGTCTCCTTCCTGTGGCTTCCATGAGGTCAAAAACTCCTCCTGAAGGGCTCTGCAGGAGCTCTGGGCACCCCAGGAATGGCTGTGCTTCAGTTGTGAAGGAAGAGTTGCTTATAAAACAAGAATGGCTTGAAGCTTCATTTAGTTAATGCTTGCAAAGGGATTTGAGATCCTCAAATGAAAGGCAGGGGTGTTATGAATATTCTTCTGGATTCCATTTTCCTGGGATGTAATAGAAGCTGTATATTATTCCTGTGCTACTTGTGAAGAAGGATGGCTTTGAGATGGCTCTAATGCTTCTGACGTGATCTGATCACCAGCATGGGGCTGTAGCCACAGCAGCAGAGCTCAGGATTGTTTATTGCAGTGAGGGTGCTATTCCCCCAAAGTGCTGGAAGCTGCTGCAGTTTGGCTGCACCATTCCAGTAAGCAGCTCTGCATAGAGACACTGAGATTTACTGGTTAATGTGGAAAAAAAGGCCACTGCAGGAAGCAGCCTGGCTTCATCTGCAGTCCTGCTCTGGCAGCTCTGGAGGGAGCTCGGTGCAGCTGTGCCGGGCAGGAAAAGGCCATGGGAGCAGGGCAGCAGATAACAGCTCCAGAGGGGGACTACAGCCCTGCCAGGAGCTGGCTCCAGGGCCAGGGAACGTGGCTGAGGAGGCTCCAGGGAGTGCACGGGGCAGGATCAGGACCAGTGAAATGCTGCAGCCTTTGTGTTCATTAGTGTGTTAGACTGTGTTTGCTACTTCGTCAAGTTAAACTGTCAGAACGGAGAGGGGAGCTATTTAAAGTGCTCAAATTTACAGAGCATTTAATGGGCTTACAAAGCAGCCATTCCATCTGCCTGGCAGCAGGACAGGGCAGCTTCTGCTGCCTTGAGAGGGCTCCAGAGGGATGGATGTGGTGGGCTGACTGGGCAAGGACAGGGAGAGGCCAGGCTTCCTTTTCCCCCAAGGGCTTCTCAGGGGAATGAGAGAGATGATGTGGGCTGCAGTGGAGGGTGAAGCAGAGAAACCCTGTGCAGATGTGGAGGGTAGGAAAGACTTGGAGGGTGAAGTAGAGAAACCCTGTGCAGATGTGGAGGGTAGGAAAGACTTGGATGTGTTCAAGAGCAGGCTGGATGGAGCTCTGAGCCTTGGTCTGGTGGAAGGTGTCCTTGCCCATGGCAGGGAACTGGGACTTGATGATCTCCAAGATCCCTTCCAGCCCAAACCATTCCAGAATTCTGTGATCCCATGAATATCAGAGTGTGGCAGAACATGCCCCTGGCTTTGGCTTGCACCACTGTCATGAACGGAGAGAAGGTCAAAGCTCCAAAGAGTGTGTTCAGGATCTGTGCTTCACCCTGAGCTGCCTGAGCAAGCAGCTGGGGTTTGCCCTGTGCTGCTGAGCTAAAACAGGCAGAACAGCTGCTGAGGCTCCTGAGGCACAGGCTTTGGTGTCTCCCACCTTTCCCATGGGTAGCCACAGGGAATCGTTTGCCCGCTCTCGTTTTACGCTGACGCTGCTGTTCCTCTCTGTCTCCACAGCACACGTTTTGCAGGAGATGTGCCTTAACATCTGGTGAGTACAGAGCTGTTCTTGTGTGATGCAGCCAAAACACTGTTATTTCCTGGTTGATTTGCTTTCACCTAATGAGAAACCTGCAGAAAAAATGTCCAAAGGGCTTAAAACAAGCTGTCAGTCAGGCGTGCCACTGCAGCAGTGAGGGGCTGGGGGCCAGTGGTGCACTCTGGAGCATGGGCACTGCAGCAGGGCTGGGCACAGGATGTTCTCAGATCCTGGAAAATGCAGTGGATAATCCCAGGATAATACATGTCTCGCCCAGAGCTGACCCACTGATTTCAAACTGAAAGCTTTCTGTGGCTGCCTGGATAAAGAAGCAGGACCCACGTTTGGCATCAACCCCTTTTCCCCATCCCCTCAGTGCCAGGCTCTGGCCCCTGACTGAGCCCCACTGAGCTGCTTTAGCCCACTCAGCTCTTCCAGAACCCTGGGAGAGCCCAAGCCCCTGGCTGCTGGCCTGGGCTAACCAGCTCCTGCTTGGGTTGGACTTTGGCTGCAAAAAAAAAAGACTTTTTTTGGCACAAGCTTGTGCCCCTCTTGGCAAGCTGTTGTTCAGCACAGAGCCAAGCCATTGGCATTACCAGAACAGCGAGCCCTGAGGAGGCTCCCTGGGGAGTCCTGCAAAGCAGCAGCTCTTTCTGCCTTAAGATTTTTGTGTTCCACATGCAAGAGGTCCCTCTGCTTTGCATGTTAATCCCCTCACCGTGCTCTGCTATATCAACTCCAGCCTACAGATCTGTAGCAAGAGGCTTTGCAATTGCAATCCCCATGCCTGGAGTGTTCCATAAACAGCTGGATGTGGCAGAGCTCAGTTGATGAGGTGGTGATCGGCCCAAGGCTTGGTCTCAATGATCTTGGAGGTGTTTTCCAACTGAAAGGATTCTGGGTTTCAGTGGTTTCTGGCAGCAGGAGCAGAGCCCAGCCCTGGATGAGGAGCAGATTGTGGCTGGGGCGTCTGGTGACTTGTGCTCTCTGCCTGTGAACACTCCCCCTTCAGCCAGCACAAGGCAGTCTGAATCTGTGGGCTTCTTTCACTGGCAGCTCCCTCCAATCCTTATGGATTAACATAAACTGTAACTTTTCCACACCCCAAGACGAACCAAAGATGATGGCTGGCAAACCTTGGGTGAATATTCCTGGCTCTTTCCATGGCCACTCACCCAGGAGTTGGCTCACCTGACCGGGGAAGGCACAAAACCACAATTTCCACGCAGGGACTCTGGGAAACGCTGGTGCCCTCTCTCAGCCCTCACTGACCGTGCCATCCTTCCCTCCCTGGCAGAGAAGTGCCCCGTGGACAACGCCAAGCTGACGGTGGTGGTGAACAACATCGCGGTGGCCGAGCAGATCGGGGAGCTGTTCATCCACTGCAAGTACGGCTGCCGGCCCGCCGCCAGCAGCAAGCCCACCGCCTTCGAGGTGGACCCCCGGGGCTGCCCCTTCACCATCAAGCTGAGTGCCAGGAAGTGAGTGCTCCTTCCAGGGATCCTCCCCAGGGAAAGGGCCCTGCCAGCCTGGCCTGCCCGAGCTGCCCTGCGGCTCGGGGACGTGCAGCTCCTGTGTTTGGCTGTGCCAGGGGGATGGCAGGGTGGCTTCAGGGGACAGCTCAGGGCTGGTGTCAGGGGGAGGGTGCTGTTTGCTGCTCCCTGAGTGCCAGCACTGGGACAGGGGGTGCATTGTGAGAGCGGCCTCCTCACATCTGGGATGAAACTCCGTGGCCGAGGTTAAGTAGAGGACTTGGGATTCTTTTTGTAAGAGGAATTATCTTCGTTATATCCTGTGAATTCCAAATCTACCTCCCTCCCCATCCTGAATGCATTCCCTGTTTTCCCTGTCCATTGCCTCTTGTTAATGGCTGCCTGAAGGCTCAGCCCATCAGCTGCAGAAATAGATGTGCCCTGTGAATATGTGGCCTGTTATTACTCTCAATTGTCTGGCCAAATGAGAATTTAAAGCTGGAATTGCAGTCTCAGAGCAGGAGGCTTTGGATCATCTGACAACCTCACAGGGCTGGTTTGCTCCTCTCCTGATGGTCTGTGTTGTTCCAAATAATTTTTGCTCATTGCTGATTTTCCCTGCCTTTGCTTCTCCCCTGGCCAGGGATCATGAGAGCAGCTGTGATTACAGGCCTGTGCGCTGCCCCAACAACCCCAGCTGCCCTCCCCTCCTCAAAATGAACCTGGAGGCTCACCTGAAGGAGTGTGAGCACATCAAGTGTCCCCACTCCAAATACGGGTAAGGAGCCGATGCTTTTGGGTGGGGAACTGCACCGAGCTCATTACTGAGCTGCTTTTTGGCTGCTGCAGCCTTGGGGTGGCCCCGAGGCTCTGAGCAGCTCTCCCCAGTGCTGTGCATTGGCCTGAGTCTGAGCTGAGGTTGCAGGGGTTGCAGGAGGCAGCCCCAGAGCCTCGGGGTGGGAACAGACAGGTCACGGTGAGGAGGGTGAGTGTACAGGCAGAAGAGCTGGAGGAGAGTCAGAGCATGAAGAGAGGGGGTGAGGACAAGAGTAATTTGAGCACCATGGCTGTGTCTTGCCAACCAAACCTTGTCCCAGGCAAGGGAAGTGCTGATCCACCTCAGAGGGTTCCCTGTCACCCGAGCCCCAGGGCAGCCCCTGCTTGGGTTTACTGTTGCAGCAAGAGGGTTCACAGAGAGTTCTTGCAGCACTGGCACAGGGCAGTGGTGGAGTCCCCATCCCTGAGGGATTTAAATGCCACGTAGGTGTGGCACGTGGGGATGTGGGTTAGTGGTGGCCTTGGGGGAGCAAGTGGACTCAGTGGTCTTGGAGACCTTTTCCAACCCCAACAATTCTATGATTCCATGGTCCTAAGCCATGTCTTGGCAGAGGCGGAGCAAGAGCAGCCCTGGCTGTGCCATGCTGCAGGCCCAAGGCAGCATCTGCTGAGGTCAGCTGCAGCTTTTTCCACTGGTTTTGATGGCTCCTGGTGAACACAACAAACTGACACCACCCTCTGTCTCCTGCCCAAGATCTGCTTTTCCTTGCAACTTCCCAGACAGACAGTCCAGTTTGGGGCCAGTGCCCTGGTCGGAAGAATGGGAGCTGCTTGGCCTACTCTTGTCCTGCAGTTGCCTCTCCCAGCAGGATCAAAGAATCATTAAAATTAGAAAGGACCTCCACAATGATCAAGTCCCCCCTTTGAAGGATCACGGCCACAGAATCCCTGCTGCTGGCAGGAGGAGCAGGACAGCTGGGGCCCCACACAGACCTTGGAGCTCCCCTGAGGAGACAGCTGAGCAAGGAGTCTCCAGGTGAGCCCTGCTCCAGCCAGCATCTGCCTTCCCCTCAGGTGTGCGTTCATAGGAAACCAGGACACCTATGAGACCCACCTGGAGACGTGCAAGTTCGAGGGGCTGAAGGAGTTCCTGCAGCAGACGGACGATCGCTTCCACGAGATGCAGGTGGCCATGGCCCAGAAGGACCAGGAGATCGCCTTCCTGCGCTCCATGCTGGGAAAACTCTCTGAGAAAATCGACCAGCTGGAGAAGAACCTGGAGCTGAAGTTTGGTGGGTGTGCACCAGACGAGCTCTGTGTCAGAGCTGGAGGGACAGGGCAGCTCCTGGGTGGTGCATTGCAGGGTTGCTCTCCCTGCTGATGGCAGCAGTGTGTTTCGGGGTTGGGGGGCAGTGGGTGCCCTCTGCCTGTTCCCTGGGATGCCCCCAGTGGCTCTGCAGTGACTGTGGGCCTGTCCCTCTCTCACAGATGTGCTGGATGAGAACCAGAGCAAGCTGAGCGAGGACCTGATGGAATTCCGCAGGGACGCCTCCATGCTGAACGTGAGGACCTGCAGTTACCTGGCTCTGCCCCTGGCTGGGCTTCTCCTGCAGTGGAGGAGGCTTTGGGGAGAGCCTTCTGCTCCAAAGCCTGGGCCTTTTACAGGAGCATTGTCCTCTCCTCCCTGCCTGCAGAGAGCAGGGAGATAAACAGATCCAAGCAGATCCATGCAGTCTGGTGAATTGCAGAGTGAGGACAGTGTATTCTGAGAGGTATTTCTGGGCCTCTCTGAATACTGAGAGTTTAGTGCAGCTCTGAGGTGCTGGCAGAGTCCTGTGGTCTCTGGAGGGAGGTGACAGAGGGATGTGGCAGTCACAGAGTAGAGCAGAGACCTCTGGTCAGAGGATGAGTTGGCCACTGAGGAAGGGCCCTGTGGGAGTCAAGAGGACAAGAGGGGTTGTAGCAGTGGAGGGGACAGTCCAAGGCCATGTCCAGGGCAGGCTGGCCTGGATGGCTGCACAGCTCACACAGCTTGTTGTGTTTTTCAGGATGAGCTCTCCCACATCAATGCTCGGCTCAACATGGGCATCCTTGGATGTGAGTACCCCCTTGCCTGGGGCTGGGTGTGGGGAGCCCAGGGATCCCCCTGGCTGCTGTCACAGCTGTGCACAGCAGAGCACTGCCCTCCCTCCCTCACCTGGCTCTCCTTTCTGCAGCCTACGATCCTCAGCAGATCTTCAAGTGCAAGGGGACCTTTGTGGGCCACCAGGGCCCCGTGTGGTGTTTGTGTGTGTACTCCATAGGAGACTTGCTCTTCAGTGGCTCCTCAGACAAAACCATTAAGGTAAGAGCTTCCCTCTTCCATGCACCTTCTGCATTTGCACGTGGAACAGAAGCTGAGTTCATTTGTGGGGTGGGTGGGTGTTGCTTCCTAAAGTTTCCTCCAAAGAATCAAATGATTCTTTATGATTATAGTTGGACAAAGTTCTCTGCAAGGAAACATTATGTGCTAGTGAAATTGAGACAAGCAGAGATCTTTGCAAGGCCCTGATTAGAATCTCATTCCTGCAGCTGCTGGTTTTGCTTTATGTGGCATTTGGGGTATTCAGGACTATTTCAGCTTCTGATTTTATGTTCCTTTGTTATAAAAAGTCATCTTAGAACAAAACATTTGTCCCTGATCCAATGTGTCCTTTCCCTGTTTTATGGCATGTTTGTTTTTCTTTGTCCTGTTTTCAGTAACTCAGACTGACAGCACTGCCCTGTGCAGCCTCAGCAGCCCTTCCCAGTGTCACCGTGGTGGCTGCTGGTGGCTGCTGGCCAGGCTGGGGACCCCCAAGGGCTGCCACAGCTAACCCTGCCAGGAGCAGAGCTTTGCTTTAGTTTCCTTGGCTGTAGAGCCACGTGGAAGGAAATGGATATTGCTGTAGATTAGGGAAGGAAAGCAGATTTCTCCCCTGCTCTGCTCTGGGCACCACATTCCTCTTGAGAGAGCAGTGTGTGCTCAGGGAAAAGCCTGTGCAGTGGCAGGGGGAGCTGTGCTGTGCCACTGGAGCCCTGGGATGGGGTGGGAACTGCTCCAGCAGGAGCCTGAGAGCTGCTCCTTTGTCTCAGGGTGTTGTGCAGGTCTGGGCTGAGGGAGCAGAGCTGCAGCAGCTGCTGGCTGTGTTAGCTTCAGCCTGACCCTCTGCAGTGCATTCCCTCTGCTAGCCAAGGGCCCAGGGCTGGCAGGCAGTGCCCAGGGGACTGGCAGTGCCCAGGGGACGGGCAGTGCCCAGGGGACAGGCAGCCTGTTTCCTCCTCTGGGTGCTGAATCCTGCCCAGGCTCCAGCCTCTGCCTTGTGCTCTCTGTTAGGTGTGGGACACCTGTACCACATACAAGTGCCAAAAGACCCTGGAGGGTCACGATGGAATTGTGCTGGCTCTCTGCATCCAGGGGTGAGTGAGGAGGGGTGCCTGTCCCTGGGGAGAGTGGGGACAGCCCTGGGGCCCCTGAGCATGCCCTCACAATTCCCATCCTCTGTCCTGCATGTGCCAGATTAGGCATGAGAGGCATATCTTGCCTCTTTGCTCTGGAGAAATGAACAAAGAGTGTGTCTCTCTGATCTCCCCCATGTCCTGGTTTCCTCCCTTGGTCACCAGCAGGGTGCTCAGCTCCCTGCTCCAAGGGCCAGTCCATCCTGGCCTCCCACAGGAGCTGGGCCTGCTCTGGGTGGGTGTGCACAGCCTTGGCCCAGCAAGGCCATGGCACAGCTCCTATCCCCAGTGCCTGGAGAGGGGCTGGGTGACACCCTGCCATGGCACAGCTCCTGTCCCCAGTGCCTGGAGAGGGGCTGGGTGACACCCTGCCATGGCACAGCTCCTGTCCCCCCAGTGCCTGGGGAGGAGGTGACACCCTGCCATGGCACTGTCCCTCGGTGACCCCCCTTTGTGTCATTGCAGGAACAAGCTGTACAGTGGCTCTGCTGACTGCACCATCATCGTGAGTACGGGGCACCCACAGCAGCAGGGACTGTCCCTCCTCTGCCAGGGGGCACTGATGACCCTCCTGTGCTGGATCCACCCCTGGGCTGGGCTTGGGGCTTCCTGCAGGCTGCATTTCCCACTCCCAGCTCCTGCCTGGGAGCAGGGGGTTGTGCTCTGGGCTGGGGCAGGGTGGCCTGCCCAACCCCTCATGGGTGCTCTGCTTTGGTGGGCTTGACAGTGCTGGATTTGATCTTTTTAGCTTTTCCCAGCTAAACCATTCCATGATTCTTGTTTGCAGGTCTGGGATATTCAAAACCTGCAGAAGGTGAACACGATCCGAGCGCACGACAATCCTGTTTGCACTTTGGTCTCCTCACACAACATGCTCTTCAGTGGCTCCCTCAAAGCCATCAAGGTGCAGCCTCAGGGCTCCTCTGGGGCTGCCTGGGGACCGGGGGTACAAACTCTCAGGCAGAAGTGTCCAAAGAGGAAGGAAGTGGCATTTTGACCTGTAGGTGACCTTGTTGCTAAGGTCTCCTGAGCCACAGAGCAGCCAGCACTGCAGAGGTTTAGCCCATGCTCTGTGCTCAAGGGAAAGCTGTTCTCTGGCTGCAAAAACACTGTATGTCTTCCAGCTCTAAACCTGAGGCTGCAGCTGCAGTATCCTGGCAGTTCCTGAGCGTGTGTGTGTGTCCTCAGGCCCCCAACAGACCTGCCCAGACCACTGGGAATTGTGTCTGGGCTCCAGAACTGGCTGGAGATTCAAGCTGTCTGTTTTGAAACTGCCTCCAAAGGATCTTGAGTCTGCATTCTGTACCTAAAACATGCAGAAATCAGGAACAGCTTTTCAGGCTGCCCTTTAAAGCCTTGGCTAGATTCCTGTGGTTCTGCTTCCAGCTCCTGGTGAGACAGCTTATGGGCCCGTCCATCTGTAAGAGGACTGTGCTCTTTTCTTTATCTGGGGCCTGGAGTGGTTCAGCTCTGGAGAGGGCTCAGGGCTGGAGCAGCCACACAGCACAAGGAGAATTAGGGGCCTTTTGGGTTTGTCATCCCTGGCCGCTTCCTGCCCAGGAGCCAGGCAGGCTCAGAGTGGGGGAAGTGAGATCTGCCAGTCCCTGTGTGCCAGGGCTGGGAGGGCAGCTTTGTGGAAGTGCAGGGCAGTTCCTTGCTGCAGCTGTGGTTTAGGCTTTTTTCAGCCCTGTGCTAGGGAAGGGTCTCTGCCAGCAATAATGCAGGCTCCAGGCTGGCTCCCTCAGGGAATGTGCTTGCTCAGCAGTTTCTGGGTTTTATCAGCCAGTCAGTGGGATCAGGCAATTCCCATCAGGCAGGAGAGCTGGCACAAGGATCCCCTCAAGAGCTGTGAGAGCCTCAGGCAGGGAGGGTGGGCACTGCTGTCCACCCTGCCCAGCCCCACTGAGCCTCCTCCCCCTCTGTGTGTCCCTGCTTTCCACAGGTGTGGGATATTGTGGGCACTGAGCTCAAGCTGAAGAAGGAGCTGACAGGTCTCAACCACTGGGTTCGAGCGCTGGTGGCTTCCCAGAATTATCTCTACAGTGGATCTTACCAGACCATCAAGGTGGGACCCTGGCACTGGTGACAGCCTGAGCCCCCTCTCCCTGTTCCTCTCTGTGCTCTGCTGGGATGTGAGAGCACTGCTGACACGAGGGCTTTTCCTGTGCTGATTCCATCTCCTCAGGCTGGGCCTCGGGAGCTGCTGGGGAGGCTCTCTGGGACAAACTGGGGCCTCAGCCATGGCGCCTCGAGGCTGCCACAGCCTTATCTGCACTGACACTCCTGCTGATAACAGGGCAAAGTCACTGGCTGGCTGCAGAGCTATCATAAATCCGTGTCAGGGTTCCCCTCCTCTGTGCTGCCTCAGGTTCTGATGAATAGGTCACCTCTCAGCATCTGGGGGACACAGGAAAATTGGAAGTGCCCTTCTCAGTGTTAATGAATCTCTGTTAATTTGTCTGCGTTGGGTTTTAGTGCTGTCAAGGACTGGGCTGTGTGTACACATGTGTGCAGTCACACACAAAGGGTGTGAAGTCTCCACACAATGTTCCCAGCCTGGATATTTAAAGTTGGGCAGCTAAATAAGATAACAGGGATTTGCTCTTCAGTGCTGAGCATTCCCAGCTGGATAGCTTTGTACCTAAAGGTGTGACCGGGGCACACGGGGAGCCAGGCTGACTGTGCGTGGCAGAATGGCTGCAAGGGGTCTCCTTGAGAAGGGTCTCACCCTGCCTCTGCTCGATCCCTCTCAGATCTGGGACATCCGGAACCTGGAGTGTGTGCACGTGCTGCAGACGTCGGGAGGCAGCGTGTACTCCATCGCCGTGACCAACCACCACATCGTGTGCGGCACCTACGAGAACCTCATCCACGTACGGGCTGGGCTCTGCCCTTGGGGGTGGGCAGGGCTGGGGGGGTGGCTGCGCCACCAGGGCAGTGTCACCGCCCTGGCCGTGTCCCGCGGCCGCCTCTTCTCCGGCGCCGTGGACAGCACTGTAAAGGTGGGTCTGCTCAGCCTTCTCCTGCACGGTTTGGGCCTGTCCAGTGCTGCAGTCAGGGCATTAAATGAGTTCAGAGTCAAAGTGACAGGAGGGTGGAGCCAGGTGAGGGTTGAGTTCTGCTCCCAGGGAACAAGTGAGCAGACAAGGGGACATGACCTCAAACTGGGCCAGGGGAGGTTCAGGTTGGACATAGGGAAGAATTTCTTCATGGAAAGGGTTGCTAAGGAAGGGCCTGTCCAGGGAGGTGGTGAAGTCCTCATCCCTGGAGGTGTCCAGGAAATGACTGGATGTGGCACTCGGTGCTCTGGGCTGGGTGACAAGGTAGGGATCAGTCACAGGTTGGATTTGATGATCTTGGAGGTCATTTCCAACCTTAACGATTCTGGGATTCTTTGAAACAAGGGGATGGTTCTCCACGGGCGGGAGGTTTCCCTCCTGACAGTGTTGTGGATGCTGGCAGTGCAGAGGAAAACTGTGGGGGATGAGGAGAAGCCCACAGAGCTGCTCAGGAGTCACTGCCTGCCGTGCCATCGTCTGCCCACAGGTCTGGACGTGCTAACGAGAGCGTCACACGAGTCCTGCACACTGAAAGACCAAAAGCTCTCCCCTCCATCGGCCTGTGGGTGACCACACCACTGAAACAACTGCTGCAGCTCCTCCTGCACCGAGCACTGCCTGCTGCTGCTGCCCCTCGGCCGGCGGCTCTCCGGACGGCTCTGCCCCACGGACACTCCAGGTGTTCCCTCAGCTCTGCCCCAGATGATTGGAAAAGGGGAAGCTGTTCCAGTGCCAGTGCCCTCCTCTGCCTGTGTCCCCCCAGCTGGGGTGACACTGGGCCTCGGGGCCAGGCCAGCAGAGCCCTTGGCCAGCGCCAGGATGGACAGATCCGTGTCCTGGTGGGGACAGGCTGGGCCCCTGTCCGTGGCAGGACTGACCCTGGGTGGGCACCTGACCCCTTTCTGTCTCTAGTATTTAATTTTACTGCCAAGGCCGATCCATGTGGGAAGAGGTGTTTCCTTGAGTAGCCAGGTACGATTTTTATGCCACAGCTAGTTCTCAAATCAAGTTCCACAAGCCCATTGTTCACCACCCTGTAATAATGGTCTCCACATTAAAGACAAAAAACCTCCGTTGCATTTTTACTCACATTTTCTACTGTTTTTAAGATTGTAATATAGATTTGATTATTTCTTCATTGACAATAAAAGCAGAAAGAGTTGTTCCTGCCCGGTGTGAGTTATTGCAGGGAGCCAGCAGCCAGCACTGGCCCCGTGGGGTGAAAATTGAAGTGTCTGGGCCCTACATTCCACGGGGGACAGTCCCAGCCAGGCCCCAGCACCCCACAGAGGCACCCAGGGGTGCCCATGGACTGTGCAGCACAAACACCCAGCACGCCACGAGGACTCGGGAGGGCTTGGGGACACAAACAGTGGTGGCAGCCCGGCAGGGGTTTTATTTTTTTATTTTTGTTTAAATATTTGTTGCCAGACTTGGTATAGGAGCAAACGTCTTCACAGCACCACGAGCCATCTACAATTCAGAATAGGAAGAATAAAGACGAGTAGAGGTGAAATCTAAGCACAGAAGAGCAGGGAGCAGCACCAAGATGCAGAGCTGGACAGATGGGATACGATACAGAGTCCATAACTTAATCATAAAAAATATATATATGTATATATCCATCATGTAGAACTTTATGGATTTTTTTTTTTTAGATACATTTTTTTTTTCTTTTCAACAGATATTTTTTTTTTTTTTTTCCAAAAGAAATTTCAAAGTTGTGCCAAACACATCTGGATCAGCGACCACAACAGGAGAGACGGGGGAGACAGGGCAGGGAGGGAGAAGGAAGGAGGGAGAGACCACTCCACATCTCGAGAGAAAGAAAGGAACAGCAACACTTTTGTTTGGAAACCACAAGCAAAAAATGCATTCATCAGGACTCAAGCGACAGAACCAGACTCCAACTCCAGTTTGTACAGGAATTTACAGCGGCGCGTCCCGCGGGACACGCCGGGCACACGCACCCCGCGTGCACATCCACGCACACCACACGCACCCAGACAGAGACCGACGACAAAAACAATAAAAAGAAACCAAACCAAACCCCGAAGACACTCCAAAAGAAATGAAACACCTCCAGTGTAGGAATTAACAAAAACCTCCATAAAACAAGGCACATCCTTTGAGTTCGTAACGGTGGAAAAAGAAAGACGCGACACTGAATCCCAACGGAAAACCCGACCAGAACCGCTCGCACGTACCTTCCACCCAGAGAAAAGGTAAATATTGTGCTAGTCTTAGAATGAGTTTGCCACAAGACACACAGCTTAGTATAATCTAATAGTTTTTCTCAAGCTAAAATCCAGTTTTCTCTTGATTTCTTTTAAACTGCTTTATATATAATTGCTAATATTTTTAAATCTTTTAAATATATATTTGTTAAAGTTTATTTCTTTTTTATTATTTTGGGGTTGGGGGAAATCTGCTTTATATCTTTTTTTTATTTTTTTTTCCCCTCCAATAAATTAATACTTTTATTTTATAGCTTATCACCGTCCTGTCCCCAGGCGGGGAGGGGCCGGGCAGGGGCACGTCCCGCTGCCCCCAGGGCCACCGCCAGCCTTGCCCGCCCCCGCCAACGCCGACCGAGAAAGAAAACAAAGTTTAAAAATCAAAATTAAAAACGGAGCAAAGAAACCCAAGTGCATTTGCCCGCCCGGCCCCGCCACCAGCAAACGGCATCGGTGACACGCGGCTGGCGGAGCCACCGCGCCGGGCAGGGCTTGTGCTACATTCGGGTGGCGGTGACCCGCGGCTGGCAGGGCACGGGCAGCCACCGGACGGGTCACTCGGGAGCCCCCCGGAGCCCCGGCCGCGCTTCGGTCCGGAGCGTGTTGCTTTGTTTCTTCTGTTGGGTTTTATTTCTGTGGTTTTTGTTATTTTTTTTTTTGCTTCTGCAAAAGGGAGTCCTGCCGGAGCCGGCGCCGAGTCCGTGAGCACAATCCTGAGGTATCTTCTTCTTTGTGCAAACCCCGAGGGACGGGATGTCCGGGAGGGGACGGCTGTACAAAGGGGACAGGGGAGGGCGGCGGGGCCGGGGGGTCGTGGATCGTTGTGCCCTTGTGCCCACGTAAGCCCTGAGGTTCTCGGGGCCCTGGCGCCCCTCACTCCAGCATGGCATCCAGCTGGTCCGCCAGGTCGTCGAACATGCTGCCGATGTCGTCCAGGATGCTCACGGTGCTCTTCGACTCCACGGCCGAGCTGGGGAGTGACAGAGACAGGTCAGGGCAGGCAGGGACGGAGACATGGCACAGCCCCCTGGGCCCCACGGCATGGCACTCCTGCCCCTTTGAGCTGTGGTGCCCAGCACTGTGTCCCCAGTGCCATGGCACAATGTTCTAGCTCCATGTCCCCAGTGTCCCCTCTGCAAAACAGTCCTCAGGGCACCCACATGCCCGGGTCCCCCTGCCCATGCTGCTCCAGCAAGATGTCCTTTAGTGTCACAGCCTGACCCCTGTGCATGGTCCTTATGGCCATCTGTGCTCCACCAGTGTCCCCCAGCACCTCCGCACTCGCACCGTGGTGTCACAGCCTGACCCCTGTGCACGGTCCATTTTGGCCTCCTGTGCTCGGGGACACCGAGCGGCCTCACACCCTCCCGGGGCCCACCACCCACCCCTGCAGCCCCTTACTCTGCCGCCTGACTGTCCTCCTGCTTGATCTTCTCCTCCACCGCCTGCAGCGCGGCGGCCAGGGACGCGCTCGTCTCCTCCAGCTTCTGCTGCGCCAGCTCGGGACCGCCACTGTCCACGGACGGGCTGGCGATGGTGGAGCGGGGCGGCTTCACCGGCACCTGCTGGGGCTGCGCGCCGGGCGACAGGGGCTTGGCGGGGCTGGAGCAGAGCGAGGGCGGCGTGCTGGAGGGCTTGGCCGCGGGGCTCAGCTGCCGGGCTGGCGACGGGGCCGGCGTGGAGCTGGCGCTCACCGACTGGATGGCGGCGTGGGGCTTGGGGGGCTTGGGCGCCGTGGGGGGCGGCGTGGGCTTGGGGGACACCGGGGGCGGCGTGCCATGGACCCGCTTCACCTCTGCGGAGAGAAGGGAGAGGGGCAGGAGGGCGGCGGGGCCGGCTGGGACCCCCGGCGTCCGCCCCGCGGAGCGCCCGTCCCGGGGGCTGGCGGGGCACCTACCTGGGCTGCCGGGGCTTGGGATGGGCACCTTTTTGGGGACGGGCACAGGCGGCCCAGGCATCTTCTGAGGCGGCTGCGTCAGCACGGGCTTGGGGGACACCGGCGGCTTGAAGGGCTTCTTGGGCTCGGCGGGCGGCGGGACGAACTCGGGGCCGTCGGGGCGGGCGGCGGGCGGCGGGGTGGGCGGCGGCTCAGCCCCGCTCAGCTCCGAGGCCGGCCGCCGCTTCACGGTGCCGGTGCCGTTCTGGTACACGGCGAGCGTGGCCGGCTCCAGCGCCGGCTCCTTGTCCTTGGCTTTGGGCCGGCGCTTGACGGTGTCGGACTCGGTGAGGACGAAGCGGACGCCGTCCTGCTGGCTCTGCCTGGCCCGGATCCGCCGCTTGAGCGTGGCGCTGGCCTCCACCTTGGCCAGGTCCCCGTGGCGGTGGGCCGGGGACAGCCCCTCGCCCGTCTCCCCGCGGGCCGGTCCCAGGGGCCGCGGCCGCTGCTTGATGGTGAGGGTGCCGTCCTCGGCGAACGGGATGCCGTCGGGGGAGCCGCCGCGTTCCACCCGCAGCCGCTCGCCGGGACCGTCGGCGGCCGCCTCCGACCGCACGCTGTCGGCGCGCTCGCGGCGGGCGGCTGCCACCAGCCCGGTGACGGGGCCGCTGATGGTCCGGCGCCGGTTCACCACCTCCCCGTCCAGCCCGATGGCCTCCTTATGCTTGACGGTGGCCAGGACGGTGGCCACGCGGGCGCGGTCGGGGCTGCCCGGGGGCGGCCCGGGCTGTAGGTAGTAGCCCTCGGGCGCCTTGGCCGGTACCGGCCCCGGCCCGGCTGCCACGTGCGGCTTCTGCAGCGCCAGGGCGCGGGCCCCGCCGCCGATGGAGGACATCTCCAGCATGGCCGCGATGCTGCGCACGCTGCCGGCGCTGCCCGTGTCCACGCTGCCGCCCAGGTCGCTCGCCCGCCGCTGCTCCCGGCGGCCCTCGCCCTCGGCGCTCGGGGCTCCGACGGCCGCCTCGCCCTCACCCTCCTTGGGGAAGTCCTCGGCCATGCCGGCGCTGGAGATGGCAGAGCTGGAGCGCTTGGGAGGGGGCGGCGGGGGTCCCTTCTTCTTGGGGCGGACGGCGAAGGACTGGCTGCGGTTGACGTTCTTGTCGCCGCCGGCGGGTGCCCGCACCGAGTGGCTGCGGCCCACGCGGCGCTGCACGGTGGCGTAGGGCCCCGCGTCCGGCACCAGCAGCTCGTCCCGCTCCTGCTCGCTGTCGGAGGCGGCGTAGCGGTTCAGGCTGTGCGCCCGCTTCTTCGGCCTGCCCGGCTCCTCCTCGCCCTCGCCCGCCGGCGGCAGGCACAGCACGGGCACCGAGACGGGCAGGACGGGCACCCCCGGCGGCGCCGCCTCGCCCTCGGCGGGCTGCGGCAGCACGTAGGCGAAGCCGCGGTGCGTGGGCGACTGGGGCAGGGAGCGGGGCGATGCCGGGCGCTCGCCGGGCGGCAGCAGCTGCGGGGTGGGCTTCACCTTGGCGGTGGCGTGAGGGGCCGCCGGGCCTTGCGGGGACGAGGGTCGTGCCTTGCCGGGGGTCTGCGGCGGCGTCAGCTGCCCGGCGGAGGCCGGGAAGGGCTGCCGGGGCTTGCCGGGCACCGGGGGCACGCTGGCGCGCTTCACGGGGTGGCCGTGCCGGGGCGGGCGGCTCTCCTTGGGCGGCGCAGGGGGGCTCTCCCCGGCCCCCTCCGCCAGGTACTCCTGGCTCTTGGAGATGGCGGCGGCGGGGGGGCCCCGCGGGCCGTCCCCCAGCAGCTCCTGCGAGCTGCTCATCAGCCGGGCGCGGCCGCCCAGCGCCGGCGGCGAGCGGTAACCGGGGGCCGAGGGGTTCGCCGCCTTCTCGGGGGCCTCCTCGGGGCCTTCGCCCGTTATGGCCACCTGCAGCTCGCTGCTGAGCTCGCTGTCCTGGAAGGTGGTCATCTTGGGCGACTGGCACTCGGGCGGCTCCGGCGGGGGGGACTCGATGGCCAGCACCTCCGGGCTCGGCCCCGACGCCTTCCTCTTCAGCGTGCCCGGCTCGTACTTGCCCAGCTCGGCGCGCTGCAGCTCCGCCAGCTTCTTCACCGCCAGCATCAGCTTCTTCTGGTGGCCTGGGGGCGGCACGTGCCGTCAGTGTCACCGCCAAGGCCACCGCAGCCAGCGCCGCGCGCGGGGCCTTACCCAGCTTGGTGATGCCGATCTCCTGCAGGTCCTCCCAGGTGATGTCGGTGATGAAGTCGATGTTCTCGTAGCCGTTCTCCACCAGCACCTTGTAGTACTGGGACAGGCCGATCATGGAGAGCCACAGCGCCAGGTTGGCCTGGGGTGGGGTGCGGGGCACGGCTCAGCACCAGCTGGCAGCAGGGTCTGCCCCTGCCACCCCAGGCACCCCAGCACCCATAGGAGATCCCGTCTTGCTCAGGGATCCCAGCCCCAGGATCCTTGTGCCCCACAAGCATCCTTGGCTATTGCCAGTCCTGTTCCCATGGAAGCCTCTCACTGTGCCCAGGCATTGGGGCAGGAGGAGTGTCACAGTGCCACATCCACAGGGGTGACAGCTGGCAGCAGCCTGATGCTCCCTGGGGAGCTGCCTGGAGGGGATGTGGGCAGCTCTGGGACCATGGAGCCAGCTCCCACCCTTGTCCAGTGCCACCCCCCGGAAGACAGGAGGGGACTGGTTGCCACCATGGGTGTGGCTTCTGTCCCCCTGGCCCTGCACCGCCCTCACCGGTTTGTACTCGGGCAGCCACTCGGGGATGTTGAGGTTGTTGATCTCGGAGGCGATCTTCTTCCTGTGCCCCGGCTTGGTGACCCCGATGGCCGTGAGGTCCTGGGGCAGAGAGGAGGGGTCAGTGCTGCCCTGCTCCGGCCATGCCTCCCTCCCACCGCCCCCGGCCCCACCTCCGGCGTCATCCGGCTGATGGTGGTGATGTCGTAGCCGGCGTTGATGAAGTTGGGAGCGTAGAGCTGCAGCTGGAACTTGCAGAGCCACTGGTACACGGCCTCCGAGCTCTGGGGCGAGAGGGACAGATGGACGGGGGCAGCTCTGGGGATGGGGACCCGCCACTCCTGCCCATGTCCCCCAAAGCTGTCCCCACCACACGCTCCCCACAGCACCCGGCGCTCTCTGCTCACCTTCCCCTCTGACGGCGGCTCCATTTTCTTCAGCTGGGGCTCGGCGGGGGGCTGGGGGGCGTAGGGGGAGCTGGCCACGCTCTGCGACCGCGACGAACCTGCCGGAGGGGCAGCGGTCAGCGCGGCGGGGGCTGCCCAGCCCCGGGCTCTGGTGGAAGGGAGAGCCGAGCCCTGCCCTGGGCGGGATGCCACAGCCACAGCCCCAGGCTGGCGGGGCCAAGAGAGGTGCAGGAGGGCGACACCGGGCCCACAGCAGCCCGGAGCAGCCGCGGTCCCCGGACAGGGTGCTGCTCCTCGCGGAGGGGCAGGCGAGCTGCTGCACCCAGCGTGGCCCCGAGCAGTGGGACTCAGCCAGACTGTCCTCCAGAGCCAGTGTCCCCGGAGCCCAGGCAGCAGCCAGAGGGGTCCCTCTGCCCAAAACCCTCTGGCCCCGCTCCTCTGGCCCTGCCACCCGCCAGGCAGGCTCGTACGAGCTGTTCATCCCTTGGTGCCCTCCCTCCAGGGTAAGGAGGGCTGCCCTGAAATTTTCCCCGCATGTTTCTGATCAGGATGAACAAGAGAAGCCCCTTCCCCCCCACCAGCAACTGCATCTTCAGTGTGTGTGTGTGTGCGTGTGTGTGTGCGTGCATCCTCCCTGCGTGTGCATCCTTCGGGCATCCGCATCCCTCTCGCGTGGGCATCCTCCTCACATGTGCATCCCTCTGCCGTGTGCATCTCCCTCACGTCTGCATCCCACTTGCGTCTGCATCGCTCCGGCATGTTTCCCCCTCTCCCTAGCAACGTCTGCACCCCCCTCCCCGCGTGTCCACCCCCCTCCCCTGAGCGCATCCCCCTCCCCAGGTCTCTCTGCCTCCCCGCAGCCCGGCCAGCTCCGGGCATCCCCCCGCGCCCACCCCCACGTGTGCATCTCCCGTCTGTCCCCCGATTCCCGGGCACATGCCACTCCCGTGGCGTGGGCACCCCGGTGGCATGGCCGTGCTCCCCGCAGCCCCCCGGACGGCGGTGGCGGGGGGGGGGGCCCCCGCCCGGGCCCGGGGGGGGGGACCCCGCTCGGGCTCCAGCAGGGCTGGCGGGGGGCCAGGGAAGGGAAGGGGCCGGGGAGCATCGGTGCCCCCTCTGCCCGCCCCACGCCGCCCCCCGCCCCCCACGGGCCCCCACTAACCGAGGCAGGAGAAGGCCTGGCAGCAGCCGAAAGGCGAGAGAGTCATTTTTTACCCACACGTTTTTCTTCTGGCGACGGGTGCCGTGGCAATAAAAAAAAAGACAAATCCCTGGATCCACGGCACGGCCAGGGCTCCTCCTGCTCCGGCAGCCGGGCGGCCGCAGCACGCACCTGCGGGGATGTCCTGCGCCTTGGCCGGCCCATCGCCCACGGCAGACTCTTGCGCAGAAGCCTTCTGGGAAAGGACCGTTGCCAGCAGCTGAAAAACACCCCGGCAAGGGGGGAGAGCAGGCAGGAGTGAGGCGGGCGGAGGGGGCCGCGGGCCGGGGGTGCGTGTCGCGGGTGTCGCGGGTGTCGCGGGTACCGTGGATGCTGTGGGTGCTGCGGGTGCTGCGGGTGCTGCCAGCTCGGGCGAGGGTGGGCAGGGAGGGTTGCAGCAGATTTCGGCGGCAGCGGGGGGAGCGGGAGCAGCAGATGGTGCTTTGCCGGCAGCAGGAGCCCACGGCACCGCCGCACCCCAAAGCCAGCCTGGCACATGCCCAGCCCGGGCTGCCGGCATGGGCTGCGGGGTGCCCTGTGCCCACGGGACGGAGCCCCCCGGCTGGCAGCGTGCTGTGGCTCAGGGGCACGTGGGCATGGCAGGCAGGGTGCCAGGGGACGTGGGCTGGCGGGTGCTGGGGTCGCTGGGCTGGCAGGTGCCATTGCCAGGGAATGGGACAGCCCAGGGGCAGTGCAGGGCTGTTGTGCCAGAGGTGCCAGGGCAGCGTGCAGCGCGATGCGCGGTGCTGGTGGCAGCAGTGCATGGTAACAGTGTGCCATGTTGGTGGCAGCAGTGCATGGTGACAGTGTGCCAGGCTGGTGGCAGCGATGCATTGGTGACAGTGTGCCGTGTTGGTGGCAGCAGTGCATTAGTGGCAGCACGCCATGCCAGTGGCAGTAGTGCGCTGGTGGCAGTGTGCTGTGCCCGTGGCAGCAGCGTGTGCAGGGCAGGGCAGAGCACAGTGCAGAGGTCCCTGCGAGTGGCAGCAGAGACATGGCACAGCGGCCCTGATGGACCTGTGGAATGTTTTTCAGGGGCAGCACTCAGGGGCCGGGTGGAGGGGACACGCTGGTGGCCGCTGTCGGTGACGGCGTAGCTGGTGGCACACAGGGTATGGATGAGAGTGCACAGCACCTGGTGAAGCAGCAGCTGGGGTCAGGGCAGGCAGCAAACGCTGCAGGACTGCAGCCAACAGCAGCTGGCACGGCCGCCCCGGGGCTCGCCTTACCTTGACGCCCTCGGAGCCGGCGTGCAGGGCGTGCGCCCCGCTGCCCGCGCTCTGCCCGCTCCCCGAGCTGCGCGCCGAGGCCACGCTGCCCGTGCTGCCCAGGCTGCTGCGGTCACCACCTGCACAGAGGAGAGGCTGTCAGGGCTCCGAGCCCCGCCGTTAGGGGACACCACGGGCGGCCGTGCCCCGCTGGAGCCAGGTGCTCCGCGCCCCAGCGGGTGCCCGCTCGCCGTACCTGCGAAGGGTTTCCGCAGCACCCAGATCTCCTCGGCGGGGGCTGGCGTGGCCGATCCGCCCTGCGACGGTGACAGGTGGGACGGGCTCATGTCGGCCCCGCGGGACCCTTGGTGGCAGAGCAGAGAGAGCACCCGTCAGGCGCGTGGCTCTGCGCCGGGCTCGCACGGGTGTGGCACGGGGAGATGACCACGGCCCCGGGACTGGCGCTGCTGCACGTGGGAACAGCCCCACAGGGGAGGTGTGGGGACCCTGGCTGTGTCCGTGCCCAGGGATGCCAGAGCCATCCTAGGGCCCTGTTCCATGCCAAGATGGCAGAGGTGACAGTGACAAGCCCTGGCCCCGTCGTGCAGAGCAGCCCCTCCTCACTGCCAGCCAGGGACAGACCCATGGTGGGGTGTTCCAGTGCCCTGGCTGAGCCTGGACAAGGGACAAGGACTTTGTCATCCCTTCACAGGACAAGATGGGGACATGACCCAGTGCAGGAACAAAGGGAGCTGGGCAAACTCAAGCAGTGGGAAGCAGGGTTCCCACCCCACTGTCCCCTGTCCCAGGCAGTGCTGGCCATGTCCCTGCAGCTGCCTGCACTCATCTGTGGGGACACAGGGGACATGCGGGGCCAAGCACCAGGTGCTGAAACCCTGGTGACACACAGGGGACACAGCAGTGGATGAGAGGACCTGGACCTCCTCTGGGGCACAGCCTGAGGGTCACCCCAGGGCATGGCTCCTCACCAGCTCACTGTGCTGGCCACCTCTGCCAGGTCCCACTTGCACCAGGGGGGAAAACAGCATCAGGTGAGACAGACAACAGCCCTACAAGGCCAGTGCTGCCATGGCCCCACCACGGCTCCGCCACTGTCCTGCCAGCCACGGGGCACTGCCGCCCCGCCACCAGCCATGGGGTGTTACCACCTCACTGCCAGCCATGGGGTACTGCCACCCTGCCACCAGCTGTGGGACATTGTCACCCCACTGCCAACCAGGCCAGCTCTGTTCACGGAGCTGCTCACTCCAGCAGCACCAACAGTAGCAGGGGACAGGTGGCACAAGGTGATAAATGCACTGAAGGAGCACAGCAGGGGACAAACAGCCTCACCAAATCAGGCTGGGACATCCCTGAGCTGCGCATGCCACGCTCACACCAAGAGGAGCCTGGGCTTGTGCAGCTCCATGCCACCCCAGCAGGAGAGAAAGCCTCAGGGAAAAGAAGTGCTCCCTTGTCCCCAGTGCCAGCACGGCCACCCAGTGCCCCCAGCACAACCTCCTTAGCCGCTGCCACCAGGGCATGTGCAAAGCCCCCTGGCCCCAGCCATCGAGGAGTGCACCCCTGCAACCCCCTGCTCCTGGGTGTTCCTGACGCACGGCCCTGCAGCATCATCACCTGCCTGTGTCCTGGGGACGGTCCCCAGGGTTCAGCTGGGCTCTGCCTGCGCTGAGCCAGCCCCGAGAGCATCCCCTGGGAGAGTCCCCAGAGCCGCAGCCCCTTCCAGCTCCGCGTGCACAGCCACGACCTGGGCAGAGCTGGGCCCTGCAGGGAGGCTGTGGCCAGCAGAGGATCCCTGAGCCCGTGGCACAGAGCCGTGGCACTGCGCTGCCAGCCCTGCCCTGGCACAGGGCTCTGAGTGCCCTGGGGGTGCCCACGCACCCGGACAGGAGCGCAGGGACCACGGGGACAGCGGGGTGGGGAAGGTGGCTGTGCCTTGGCACACGGTGTGCCAGCGGCGCTGGAGCGGGTGTGGGGGGAGCGATGGCACACGTGTGCCACCCGAGTGCCCCCGCTGCCCCCACCGCACGCATGCAGGCGCATGCACAGCTGCATGCACACACAGCCCCCGGTGAGGGGGAGAGGCCGAGCAGAGAGAAAAGACTCGACACACGCTTTAAAGGAAAAGGAAGGAAAATCCATGGAGAGCACGAAGCGAGCGGTGAACTACCTTGTCCGTAACGCGGCTCGTCGGCACTGCTAGGGGAGAGCCTGTGATAGCCAAAGGAACTGAAAAGAGTCTGATGGGAATGTGGTGGTGGAGGTGGAGGTGGAGGCAGGGAATGGAACGGATGGGACGAGGCGTCACCGTTTAGCACAGCAGCCCCGTAAGCCGGGAGCGGGATCTTTTGGAAGTGTTGGGGGATTGTTACAGTCTCCCATGAACCTGATAATAAAACATAACAAGAGACAAAATGAAAAGAATCCAAATAATAGAGACACGCTCAGTGCCACCAAAAAAGAAGGAAAAAAAAAAAAAAAAAAAGGAAAGAAAATTAAAGAAAATATAAGAAAGGGGGGGAAAGGCAGCAAATCAAAAGAGCGACCAAAGGGACGTGGAGAAGCCAGAACCGAGACCCAGGCGATGCAGGGCAGAGCCGAGGAGCGGCAGCGGGAGCACACGCACAGCCCGGCGCAGGCTACGGGCACATCCCGCCGAGCCGGCACGGACACTGGCACAGCCCCGCGGGTCAGCTCACCGGGTGGCACAGCCAGGCTTCGCCGGGTGGCACAGCCAGGCTGCCGGGGTCCTGCTCCCCGCAGGGCCGGGCTGGGGCTGCAGCACCCCCGTGTCCAGGGGGTGAGCTGTGACACGGCGCCTGCACCCCACGCTGCTGCCCCAGCACAGCCAGAACGGTGGCTACAGAACTCCCCAGCCTGGCCAGCACTGCTGTGGGCCAGCCGCAGCCCAGGAGCCACAGAGCACAGCCCAGGAGACATGGATGGCATCTCTGGTACTGGCATACAAGGCGTGCCTGGAGGGTGGCTTTGTCCCTGCCTGTCCAGCACCAGGTGCCTCCAGGAACACTGTGGGTTGCCCAGCAGGCACTTGTGCTGCCACTCTCCTGAGACACTGCTCAAGTGCCACCATGCCCTGCCCATGTGCCCATGGTGTGGCTGTCCCCAGGATCCGGTCCCAGGGCTGGGGTGAGATGGTTGATGTGGGGCCTTTCAATGCTGCCTGCAGAGGCACCAGCCCCACTGGGACTCTCCTGGCCGAGGGCACGGCCCAGGGACATCGCAAGGGGCTGCACAGGAGCCTAAAGGGATCACAGTGGGAATGGGGACAGGAACAGGCAGCCACAGGGCAGGGGAGCAGGGGCCAATCCCTGAGATGGCCCCTGGCTGGAAAGACGGTCTCTGTGTGGCAGCATCAGCTCCCTGGCACTGGTGCCCAGCCCCTGCACAGACCCTGAGCACCAGCTCCTGCCACCCCACTGCTGTGCCCATCCCCCCAAACCGCAGTGACACCCCCGGGTCTCCTCATGCACCTCAAACACCTCCCCCAGCCCAAGGGCAGCCAGGGCTGACCCTCGAGCACCCCAGAGCTGACCCTCCAGCACCCCAGGGCTGCCAGCACCACCCCCCAAGACACCGACCCCACAGACACAACGGGAACACAGACCCTGCACACTCAGTGGGAGCACCAGCCCCACAGGCACGATGAGGACGCTGACCCCACACACTTTCAGGCACCGTCCCCATGCACACGGCGGGGACACCGACCCCACATGCACGAGGGGCATGGCCCCGCTTTGCCTTCACCGCTGCAGCCCCCGACACCCCGGTCCCCACCAAAGCCAGACGGGGCTCCCCGGGGGTGTAGGGGGGGATTATTTGCCTGTTCGTTTGCTTATGGCCTCGACGAGGCTGGAGGGGAAGTAGCCCACGCGGTCGTTGCCCGTGCGGTTGTCGTGGATGCAGCCCTTCCAGCGCCCGTCCGCGTGCTGCTCCAGCACCTGCGGGAGGGGCCGGGTCAGGGGCCGGGCCAGGGGCCGCCACTGCCACCGGGATGTCCCCGGCCCCCCCGGCCACACTCACGGTGATGACGTCCCCGGCTTTCACGTTGAGGCTGGTCAGGTCGTAGTTGTTGCAGTAGTCCTTGACGGCCCGGACCTGCAGAGCTGCAGAGGCGTCTGCGGGGCAGAACGGGAGCGTCATCGGCCGCTCACCCCACGGGGGGTGGCACCCCCAGCCCGGCGCCCCTCGTGCCAGCATGGCCACTCCGTGCCCTCCGACCCCCTACCCCGCAGCATCTGCTTGATCTCCTTGCTGGCCTGGCTGGTGGTGAACTGGTTGACGATGTCCAGAGCCGTCTGGTTGTAGGTGTTCCTGACGTGGGCGTTGATCCCGCTCTGCAATGGCACCGAGAGGGATTGGGAGGAGGCTGGTCCCCATCCTGCCACCCCTGGGACTCCCTAGGCCACCAGCAGACCAGCAGCTGGAGGGCGCAGCTCTCAGACCTTCGTGTGTACCCCCCTTGTGACCCTCACCCCTGGGTGTGCACCCCCCAGGACCCTCCGTGCCTTGGCGTATCCCTTCTAGGACCCTCAGCTCTGCTCCCTGGGAGAGCTGCACAAGCTGCTCTGAGCCCCCAGCTGTGGGCTAACCCCCTTCCCACAGCCCCCCGGCTGGGTTGGGGGTGCCTGGGGGCATCTGGAGGTGCCGAGGGGGGCCCTTACATCCAGCAGCAGCCGCACCACGTCCGTTTTGCCGCAGAGCGCGGCCTCGTGCAGCGCCGTGCCCGCCTTGGTCTGCCGGTTGATGTCGATGCCAGCCTGCAGCAGGAGCCTGCGGGGGGACAGCGGGGTCAGCGGGGCACGGGGGGGCACTGGTGCTGCCACCCCTGCCCGCGGCACCCACCGGATGATGTCGATGTGGCCGTTCTTGGCGGCCAGGTGCAGGGGGCTGGTGCCGTTGGGGTCGGTGGTGTCCCCCGGTTTGGGCTCCAGCAGTGCCGCGCACATGTTGCTGTTCAGGAGCAGTTGGACCACCTGGCTCAGCAAACACAGACGGAGCAGGGCTGCAAGGGCGGCTCGGCCGCCCCCCGGGGCTGCAGCCCCCGGCCCCACCTCCCCCCCTGCCAGCAGCCAGAGCTCCCCTGCAGTGGTGGCACTGCACACCCCAGCACCGGCCATTCTGTGCCCCTCCAGCTGCTCCTGGGGACCTCATAGTGTCCCTGTCCCTGCCCCGAGGACCTCCAAGTGCCCCTGTCCCTGCCCCCAGGACCTCACAGTGTCCCTGTCCCCGCTGGGACCTCACAGTGCCCCTGCCCCCAGAACCTAACAGTGCCCTTGTCCCTGCCCCGGGGACCTCACAGTGCCCCTGTCCCCGGGACCTTACAGTGCTCTTGTCCCTGGCCCCGGGACCTGACAGTGCCCCTGTCCCCTCCCAGTCCTCCTCTGAGGACACCCAACCCTGCGAGAACTTACCCCGACGCGGCCAAACTCGCATGCCAGGTCCAGGGGCGTCTTCCCCGAGTTGTCCATGATGCAGGGGTTGGACTGGTGCTGCAGGAGCATCTCCGACTGGGGGCAAGCAAGACCCCGACCCAGTGAGGGCAGGGGCAGAGGGGTGGCAGCCCCCTCCACCAGCCCCGTGCCTCTCCGTACCACGTCGTAGTGCCCGTGCTGTGCTGCCAGGTGCAGGGGGATCTGGCCCTCGTCCGACGGGATGTTCACAGAGGAACCTGCCTTCAGCACCATTTTCATGGGCTCCTTCTTGCCCTGCCAGGCCGCGTAGTGCAGGGGCCGCATGCCTGCAGGGGCAAGAAGCCATGAGCCTTCCGTGTGCCAACACAGAGCCTGCGGGGGGCACGGGGCAGGGGGGCACGGGGCAGGGGGTCTCCAGGAGCCGGGGACTCGCCTTTGTTGTCCTTGATGTCCACGGCAGCCTGTGCCTCCAGCAGCAGCGAGATGAGCTCTGTGTTGCCGTTAAGAGCTGCATGGTGCAGAGCCGAGAACCTGGGGATGGGGCTGGTGTCAGGGACCACTGGCCTGTCCCCTCCACAGCCCTGCCAACCCTGCCCAGCACCATGGCCTCAAACCTGCACCTCTGCAGCACCCCGGGCACCTGCTCTGCCCTCCACGTGCACGTGTCCCAGGGAAAGCCACCCCCAGACCCCTCTGTGGGTTTTAGGGCGAGAGCTGCTGCGGGGCTGGCAATGCTGAGACCCCGCCGGGCTGGGGGTGCTGGGCAGGGCAGGCACCGAGGCTGGGGGTGCCGGGGAGCCCCCTCCCCACTGACCCACTTCCCCCAGGCTGGCCCCAGCAGCGCGGCCATGAGCACAGATGGCAGCACTGCCTTGCCCGGTGCCGGGCCTGCCTGTGGGCTGGGGAAAGCCCCCGGCCCCGCACCCGCTCCGCTCTCGCAGCTCCCGGAGCCTGGGAAGCAGGCCAGCAGCTGACCTACTTGTGCTCCCGGCAGCGGCATCCTCCGTGCGGCTGCGCTGGCACCCACCGTGCCGGCACCCACCGCGCCGCTGCTCCGGGCCCTGGCCGGGCACAGTGTCCCCATCCCCTTCCCAGGGTCACCCTGTCCCCATCCCCTCCTCGGGGCCACCCCATCCCCATGCCCTCCTCGGGGCCACCCCATCCCCATCCCCTCCTCAGGTCCACCCCATCCCCTCCTCAGGGCTACCCCATCCCCATCCCCTCCCCAGGGCCACCCCGCTGTCACCGGAGCATGAATGGGCTGTGGAGCCCCCAGGACACACTGGCCCCTCTGGCTGCCCGGTGCCCGAGGGGCAGGTGTGGGTGACAATCCCCCTGGCACTCTTCCCCAGGCCCCTGGCTGAGGGGACTCGTCCCGCGGGGAGCAGGCCGCAGGCACGGCCGTGCCCGCGGAGCTGCCGGCCGCGATCCCCGGCGGGGAGCGGCGATGCGAGCAGACAGCCTGCACAGGAGGCCGATCCCCAGCGTCTGCCTGGGAAATGTCAACATTTTCCGCTCCAGCGCCCTGCTGAAATCCGCTCAAGATGGTGCAAATCGCAGCCTGCCCCGGGGCTGCCTCGGGGGCTTCTCTCGGGCTCCTCATGGCCCAGCCGGCCACCTCGGCCACGAGCAGGGCACCGGGGCCAGCACGGGGACACCAGCACGGTGCTCACCCCCGGCACCCCCAGCCGGGAGCAAACCAGCACTGCCGGCATGGGGAAACTGAGGCACGGGGCTGGCTGAGCTCACACAGAGCTGCAGCCTGGATCCCGGGGGATCCTTTCCAGGAGCAGCGCTGGAGGCTGGAGGCTGCTCCCCTCGTGCTTCAGCACCCCCTGAACCTTCCAGCCGTGCCCTGCCTGCAGCTCCCCAGCCCTGCCACGATGCTCAGCCCTCCCGTGGCCTGCTGGCTCTGCAGAGCACGAGGTGGTCCCTGGGGTGATGCCCCCTTGCCCCCAGCACAGCGATGAGCTGGCAGGTGCCAGGGGATGCCCACTGCCATCATCTCGGTACCGAGGATGAGGTGGCAGCCCGGCTGCTGTGGCCATACACCCCCGGGCCGTGGTGTCCCGTTGCTGACCAGCTGCTGCTCTCCCTGGCATTTCCCTGGCACGGCAGAGCCATCCAAAGGGACAAGTGGCATCACATCGTGCTGCTGCCCCGCTCAAGGGGGATCTCAGGGCAGGGGGAGCCGGGGACAGCTGCTGCCCAGCCCCACAAGCAGCACTCCCAGTGCAGCCCCCCGTGCGGGGCCCCGCTGCCTCCCTGCAGCCTCATTAGTGTGATTAGCAGGGGTGCTCGGCCCCTTTCTGCCGCTCCCGCCCGTTGGATGTGGCTGTGGAGTGCCACCGGTGCCTGGCGGGGTCACGGCTCTCCCACCCGGCAGCCCACAGGGCTGAGCTCCCGAGGAGCCCCACAGGGCTGGGAAAAGCGTGGTGAGATGTGGGGCACAGCCCTGCCTCTGCCTCCGCCGGTGCCCTGGCTGCTCCAGGCCAGCACCGGCTCTGGGGGCAGGCAGGGCTCAGCCCCGTGGGCTAACGGGGGCCAGAGCTGGCAGCTGGAGAGCCTGGCATTCCCACACAGACACTCCCAGAGCAGGTGCACCCCCTGCTCACAGCACCCCACAGCACCCACACCCGGGCTTGGGCTCCACTCACCCGTCCGTGTCCTGGAAGTTGACATTGACTTTCTTTGCTGATCCGAGGAGCTCTGGAAGGGAGGGAAGGGGACAGGGTGTTAGAGGAGGTGGCTCAGGGACACAGGCACACCAGGGAGGTGACGTGGTGGCAGCTCCAGGTTTCCCTGCCTACCAAAGCTGGGGCTCCCTGTGGCTCCACAGGTGCTGCGTGAGGCTGAATCTGAACCTGAACCTGCAGGCAGGAGGCTCAGGGTGGGGGTCCCTGCTGAAGGTGGCAGAGCCCGGGGGCTCCTCCTGGTACCAGGTTCTGCCCATTCTCCCCTGGTTTCCCTGGGGTTCCCCCCCGGCTGCTCCACCTGGCTGAGGCTCCAGAACGGCCCCGTGCAGCCCCTGGCAGGCAGAGCCCAGCACGTTCCCCTGTACCCCCACCCCCCTGGCACTGCCCTCCCCACGCTTCTGGGAAATTAAACCATGCTGGGGCAATCCAATTAGCAGCACGAGGAAGGATGGAGCCAGATTTACATAAGATTTACCCGAAAAATGCCACTCAGGCTTTCCAGTGAGCTGCTCCAGCGGGAGCAGGAGAAGGAAGAGGAGGGTGGGAGCAGCACGGCAGAGCCCGGGTTGGGGACCCACACAGCAGCCCCTGAGCCCAACACAGCGAGCACAGCTCCAGCACAGCCCTGAGTCCATGGGACAGGACCCAAAGGCTGCATGGCCTGGCAGGGAGAATGGGCAAAGGCACCCGAAGCCAGGAACAAGATCTAGTTGGGAGAAGCTGGAAGGGGCCACTTCAGGCAGGGAAGGGGAATGTGGGGCCAGAGAGGCATTCCCTGTGCACCTTGGCCATGGCCTTGCTCTCTCCCCTCTACCACGTCCCCCCGTCAGTGTCCCTGTGTTTATTGAATTGTTGGACACAAGGGCTGTGCCGCAGCCCAGGAGCCTCCGCATGGACAAACAGGGCTCAGAGGGCACCAGCAGCAGGGGGGCGGCTGAGCCAGCCCTGCCCAGGCCACGCAGCACAGATGGACCCAGGAGTGGCCAGGACAGAGGCTCTGGCACCCAGAGCTGGCTCCCTCCTGCACCCCAGGCTGTCTGAGCTGCAGGACGTTTGCTAATGCTGACACAGCCCGCTGTGACAGGTGACAGCTGCAGAGGACGGGTTCTATCAGCCACAGCAACCACCCTCCAGCCACCAGGTCCCCAGGCTCTCCTCCCAGCTGAGGTGCCTCATGTGGGATGAGAAGGAGCACTGCAGGGCGCCTGGAGAGGGACAGGGACACCACGGTGTCCCCAGGGCGTAGGGAGGGATAGGAATGCCACAGAAGCCCCCACATCCCATCCCTGCCATAGCACACCCATGCTCCCCTGGGTAGAGCTGCACATTACTGGTGGGCAGAGCCCCTGTGACACCAGGGCTGACCCAGTCCCCGGCAGCCCCGTGCTGCCGCCAGCATCCCCAACAAAGGTGCCATTGAGCCGCGGTGGAGAGGAGCCCAGCGCCGCTTCCGCTGCCGCCCCGCGCCAAGAGCCAGCTCCCAGGAGAAGGGGCCGAGCTGCCCCCAGGGATGCAAAGGCCAGCGGACAAAAGGAGCCGTGGGCGCAGGAGCGGCACCGTGCCCGGCACTGGCTCCAACCTCCGGCCCCGAGACGGGCCCCGCTCCCGCTAATGGCTCCTTGCAGACGGACCTACGGACAGACGGACTGAGGGACGGCTGTCAGCAGCTCTGCGGTGCCTGGCCTTTCCCACGGCTTGATCCCAGCGAGGGGCTGGCATGGGGCAATGCCCGGGCAGCGGGGTGCGGTGCTGGCACCGTTGGTGATGCCCAGGCACGTGCCACCCTCGGCATCACCGAACCACCCTCGCCCCAACGCACCGTAGAGGCAAATTTTTCCTCCCTGCACCTGCAGGAGAGGCTGCGGCTGCCAAAATCTGTTTAGCACTTCCATCACTGCCCGTGCCAAGTGCTTAGTCAGTGACTTCCAGCCATGCAGTGGTTTGACTTTCCTTAAAGCTCTGGAAGTGGCCGTCAGCATGCCGAAGGCAGCTGGAGCACGGAGCCCAGCTGGGGTCTCAGAAAAACCCTGGTTCCCAGAGCAGGAGAGGAGGATGGGTGCCTTGGTCACCAGGTCCACAGTGAGATTTGCAGCCTGTCTGGGGGTAACAAGAGCCAGGAGAGCTCATTAATGGCTGGGAATTAATGACAAGGAACATTCTTCCACTAACAAGGGAGAGAGAAGGGAGATGAGTGCTTCCAATTAAAAATACCGGCTACAAAAGGAGATGGGCACGGTGGGGAGGAGGGCAGAGCTCCTTCATGGCCACACTGCCAAGGAGCACCCCCTGTGTCCCTGGCTGTCCTCTCTGCTGGGGTCACTGGAGGGGTGGCAGGGACCACCGAGCACCTGCAGTCACCATCCTGCCCTCTCCACCCAGGTGCCATCAGGAAGGTGCTGCTGCAGGGGTGGCACATCTTTGCTCAGACAGCCTGAGCCCCACCACCATCCTTGGGACACCCCAATGTCCCCTCTTGGCTGCTCATGGGCTGCTCAGGTTGTGCCATGTGAGATCACTGACGTCTCATGGCCCAGCTCTCCACCATTCTCAGATCAGTTTGCACCCCACGATGGCAGCCCCAGGAAAGGGGGGCACACACAGGCCCTGGCACCACGGGGTGCAGCTATCCCCCGTGGCTGCGGTGTGCCCCGGGAGCCGCAGGTCTGCCATCGACGCCAGCCACAAACGGCGCCTGCCGGCGTGAGCCCCGCCGGGGGAGCGGCCCTGCCACCGACACCAGAAATGCTTCACTCGAACACAGCGACTGCAGGAGCTAAATCACGCTTGGCTTGAGCCCCGCGCTCCGCGTGCAGCGAGCTCCTCGCCGGCCCCGGCTCCCCCGGCCCTGCGGCAGCCACGGCCCCGGCGGGCACCGCGGCGCGGGCGACGCACGAGCCGCTGGCACGTGCAGGGGCTGTGCACGGGGAGCCCGCTCTGCCCACCCCAGGGTCCAGCCATGTGTCACCGTGCCTCCTGGCACTGTGCCTGGCAGCTGCTTTGGGTGTCCTGGAGCACGCCATGAGGAGACCCCCGTGCCAGCCACAGCTCTGGCACTGTGATGCATAGCCATGAGGAGACCCCTGTGCCAAGCACAGCTCTGGGCACTGCGATACATGGCCACATGGAGACCCCCGTGCCAGCCACAGCTTTGGGCACTGCAATGCACGGCCACATGGAGACCCCTGTGCCAGCCACAGCTCTGGGCACTGCGATGCACAGCCATGAGGAGACCCCTGTGCCAAGCACAGCTCTGGGCACTGCAATGCACGGCCATGAGAAGACCCCCGTGCCAGCCACAGCTCTGGCACTGTGATGCATAGCCATGAGGAGACCGCTGTGCCAACCACAGCTCTGGGCACTGCAATGCATGGCCATGAGGAGACCCCCGTGCCAGCCACAGCTCTGGGCACTGCGATGCACAGCCATGAGGAGCCCCCCGTGCCAGCCACAGCTCTGGGCACTGCAATGCATGGTCATGAGGAGACCCCATGCCCAAGCAGGAATCCCAGTACATGCCACGGGGAGAGCACTGTGCCAGTCACTGCTCCAGGTATCCCAGAACACGCTGTATGGAGTGCCCAGGTGACCAGTGTATGCCATGGTGGGACCCCAGTGGCCAAGCACAGCTCTGGACACCCCAATGCTGCAGTGAAACCCCTGTGCCAGGCTGCCCCATGTCCAAGGCCACGGCCCCACATGGTGGGACTCCTCAGGGGGCTCCTCTCCCTTCCCAGCACCCCCTCACGTGCCCATGCGCCAGCCCCTGCGTCTGCAGCCAGCGCGGTGCCAGCAGCGATCGATGCCCGGCCCGAGCGTGGGGGCTCCCGGCCAAGCCCCCGCTGACGAAGCACATCCTCACCCAGCTCCCCACGGCAGGCAGCAGGCAGCAGCTCCAAGCAGATGGCTCCAGCCTCCGCTAAATCAACATCTACTTAATGAGGGGAAAGCATTGCTGCCCCCTCCCCAGCATGGCGGCAGCGGATCAGCCGGGAGAACCCCCCAAACCCTCCTCTCCATCCCTTCCCTCTCCCCTCTGCGGTGACCCCACTCCCCTCCAGCCCCATCCCTGCTGCTTCCCCACTCCCCAGCTCACGTGGGCAGCCGGACCCCTGCGTGTGCCCCCCACAAACACAACAGGACCCCACAAGCAGCCAATATCCACAGGGAAGACATTCAAGGCAAGCGCCTGTTTCAGAGACAGGGGGGAGGATCCTGCAGCGGCATCGCTGGGAGCTGCCGGATGAAGGAAGCATCCAAAATAGCTGCTCTTAATTATATCCCTGCTAACGAGCGCCACGCAAACAACGGGCACTGCACGAGGAGCACTGGCATGGGGGTGTCTTATCCTCACTGCGAGGATGGGGTCCCCACGGCGGCATGTGCCATGGGGGGGACCCCACCGGGGCAGCCACGGCAGCCCTGGCTGGGTCTGGTGATGACGGTGACACCGGGGAGCTGCTCCTGACAGGGAAAAGCTTGTACTCCTGCAGCCAAGGTCGTGTCAGGCGCTGGGGCCGGCGATGCTCAGATGCTAATGAAGCCGTTATCATCTTCCCATCGATCTGGACTGTATAAATAATGCACCGGGAAGCTCGTTGTACAGGGAAAGGGATTGCCTGGGGCTAAGAGGTGCCTGGGATGGGATGGAGCCATTGCAAGCAGTACTCAGCACAGCTGGATAGCTGCTGCCCACCACAGCTGGACAGACATCGCTCACCACAGCTGGATCACAGCTGGTGTCCATCACAGCTGGATGTCCACTGCCCATCACAGCTGGACATACACCTCTCACCACAGCTGGGTCTCCCAGTGTCCACCACAGCTGGATAACAGCTGCCCACCACAGCTGCACACCCACAGCCGTGTGCCCCGCTGCCCAGCGCCATTCCCCACATCCCAAGGCACTTTTGGGGGATGCTGCCCATGTGCCCAGCACAGGTACAGGTGCTCCGGATGCCTGTCCCTGGCAGACCCTTCTCCAGGGAGGGGCGAAATCCGCACTGGAGGCTGGCT